CGCTTCCACCGGGGTATTTTCGGCCCGCTTACTACGCGATTACCCTGCCCGCTCGCTCGCTCGCTCGCTCCCCAGCCGAGAGGGCAGACCCCGGTGGCCACGGCACTTGTCACCGTGAGGCGTGAGTGGCAATGGGGAGAAGCGCGGCGAAGCGCTTCTGAGCGAGGCGCTGAGGAGGCGACGGAGCAGAGTGCAGGTGATTGAGCCCACGGGAGGGTGTGAATTTGTTTTTGTCTTTAACTGAAGAACGAATGAAAATACATCAAAGCGAAGTCGAGTCACGGTGTCTCTCTGCTCAGTTACCGATAGAGCGGCGCTCAGCTTCACTGGAAATTCCACATTCCCATGGCAGGAAAAAGTCAACAATAGAACAATCATTGTTGACTTACCGCAAAGGATTACGGGTTTAGTTTGCTACAATTCCATTGCTTTATTCACAAGTATTTTCATCTATGACCCATCTTGGCCCATGAATTATCGCAGCACCCGTCCTCCACTGTTGGCGATCATCGTCACCATCGTCACTATATCGAATCTGCCGCTGATGTGTCCACGTCATATTCATAAGTCCAGTACTGCAAGATCACGCCACAGACTCGATATGTACACTGTCCAAATATGAATATTTCTTGTCAGGATACACGCCATATATCTCTGGTATAGGTTAATGCTGGTGCTGTGGTGCATGTGCCTCACCGCACAGACAGATATTGACTCTACGATGACACACGGCTGTGCGTGCACCCTCCCCTGTGACGGCACGCATGAGAGAACGTTACGACCAACGTTTACAAAGAGAGCGGCAATGTTGCGTAGGGATCCATCATCGCAACTGTGATTTCCTTCACCTCTGAGCAAGGGAGGGGGGTCCCTCCTGAGACGCGCTTTCTCAACTGCGCGGAATAACCCAAGTGACAAGCTCAGCTGAAATGTGACGCCCCGCTGGGCAGCGTCACGCTGGCAGCGCTGGTGCAGGCACGGCAGCAGCTGGCTCCCACGCAATGAGCTACCGGAGAGTGGGGGCAGCCAGCGATGGCGTCAGCGATGGAGAGGTCAAGTGGCCATCTGGTATCCGCAACAGTTGTCAATATCCAATGCTTGACCCCTTAGAGCACTGACGCAGCCCCTCATTGCATCATCATCAGCCACGGTAAATCCACTGCTGGATGAAGGCCTCCCCAAGCCACCACTATCGCCCACAATCCCGTCATGCAACAATCCACATCGCTCCTGCACAAGGGGCGATTTCATCACTCCATCTCCTCGGTGGACGTTCAACAGCCGACTTGAATTCAGAAAGGGCCTCACAGAAAAATGTTTCCACGTGCATTGATTACGCTTTTTTCAATTTTATCAATTTGTTACGCTGTTAATAGAACATTCCAATGTGACTAAAGGTGCATTTTATTTGTAATTAATCATTAATACTATAATTACGCATTTTGGTCCATTAAAATTACCACGTTATCCACGTATATCTCTTTTTGTCGTAATGCCAACTATTTCCCTACGGCAGTTTGGCACAGAGGTGAGCGAACCCTGAGCGAACTCAGCCCACCACGTGTTAATACGACGTGTTAAACTATTAGTTCCCTCGGCACGCAGCGCCTACTGAGTTTCATTGTAGACCGAATCCCCTTTCGCGAGCCGTCACGACACCAGGAAAGCAATAGCAGGTGCCTTGGCACACAAATAAAGTGAGTTTGCTTCATTTCGTGTGGAGCTTGGCAGCTGGGATTATTCAATTTAGGAAACCTCACCCCAATGAATATTCTACTGCTTCCAATGAAACCCTATGCCAGCCATCTCAATGTCACGCACAAGTATTGCTCCAACTCGCGTCCCGGACGCATCCCCTAGAGGGTGGGAGGGAGGGAAGGGGGGGGGGTGGTAAAATAAAAAATTGCCGTCCCAACGATGCAGTCGCGAGACCCAGTGTGTGAGTCCAAGGCACGCACCACCCCGCAGTGCGCACCACCACGCGGGTTGCAGGCACGCGCATGCCCGAGGGGGCAGAAAACGCGTTTATCGCGCGTCCCTCTCGAGAGTGCTCTTCGAAGCCACCCCACAATCTGTGCCCTTTTAAAGCAGAGTTGTGTGCGCTCGTGAGTTGGGGGGTGTTGGGCCCCAAGGAATAAAGGGCGACTATCCTCGATGCGTGAACCCACCACTACCCCTACTCACTGCTGCCGCTCAAATATTCCGAATGTGACGACGGTGGCTTCAGGGCTGGAACACGGCCGCACACTTTTGAAGGGCCCTGCATGCAGGGCTGCCCTACAGGCGGGGGCTGCCCTACAGGGGGGGCTGCCCTACAGGCGGGGCTGCCCTACAGGGGGGCTGCCCTACAGGCGGGGCTGCCCTACGGGGGAGGGGGGGTGTCCTACAGGGGGACAGTTCCCGCCGGTTGTTGGTGACGTTGCGCTGAGCCGGTAGTTCACGCGATCAATATGAGTGGTGGGAATGAGGCCAGAACGCAAGGTGATGGAGTGAAAGCTTCAACACTGTCACCGCGTCCCGGAAAGAATCAATGATTCATCTGTTTTTTTTAATTTAATTTGACTCACAGATCGACCACCGAGAGGTCTAGACACGCAGAGACCCACAGACACACACAGAGACCCACAGACACGCACAGAGACCCACAGACACGCACAGAGACCCACAGACACGCACAGAGACCCACAGACACGCACAGAGACCCACAGACACGCTCAGAGACCCACAGACACGCACAGAGATCCACAGACACGCACAGAGACCCACAGACACGCACAGAGACTCACAGACACGCACAGAGACCCACAGACACACACAGAGACCCACAGACACGCATATAGACCCACAGACACGCACAGAGACCCACAGACACACACAGAGACCCACAGACACGCACAGAGACCCACAGACACACACAAAGACCCACAGACACGCACAGAGACCCACAGACACGCACAGAGACCCACAGACACGCATAGAGACCCCCAGACACGCACAGAGACCCACAGACACGCACAGAGACCCACAGACACGCACATAGACCCACAGACACGCACAGAGACCCACAGACACGCACAGAGACCCACAGACACGCACAGAGACCCACAGACACGCACAGAGACCCACAGACACGCACAGAGACCCACAGACACGCATAGAGACCCACAGACACGCACAGAGACCCACAGACACGCACAGAGACCCACAGACACGCACAGAGACCCACAGACACGCACAGAGACCCACAGACACGCACAGAGACCCACAGACACGCACAGAGACCCACAGACACGCACAGAGACCCACAGACGGAGCGAAGCTCCTCCCCCTCCTCAGAGTTGAACACCTCTAAGAGCATCGCACCAACATGCACGCCCGGGGCAATCAGGTGAGCTGGGATCACAATGAGAGCATGTGTTTACGTGTAGAGTGATTGGTTTGAGAAGAGTGCCATGCACCCAGATAAAAGTAGGGCTATATTTACTTTTGTGCGAGAGGATCTGGAGGCGCGCCAAGGTTTAGCGCCATCACAACCCCGGAGGGAACGGGGTCAAGCACCCGGCTGCAGAAACAGTGGCATTGTAATCCTGCAGATACTCCACTTCCCCATCCAGTGCGCTTATCCCGAGTGTTTCTGTGTTAAGAACTCTCACGTGTGCTCCTGGTATGCCGCGTCAAAGTGCGTCATCGGCCATGAAGACATTCAGTTTTCGAAAATCGCTGAAATAAAACAGATTAAGTGAATAATAAATCATTTACATTGCTGACGTGTTCTCTTGCTTTGGCAATGTTGTAATGTCAACGCCAATGATTCACGCAGGCAATTCTGAGTAACGAGAATTCCGAGGCGGCCTCTGCGTTGAGACGTTTGACCCAATGTCACGAGCGAGTGTTGGCCTCACGGCAGGGGCGCCTGGGGAAGACAGGTCGCTGCTAAATGACTCCTGACATGATCATGGTCAAATCCATTGATCTTACTTGAGATCGTAAAGGTGCACACACAATGGTTCTGGTTCGCAACAGATTTTACATTTGGTCAAGCATCAAGTTAAATTGTTGAAATAAACTTGGTGCCTGTTTAAATGAACCCAAGCATGCTAGGGACCATATCTGTGCACTACTATGGAGTGCTGATGTTAAATACCATGACGTTGTGGCTTCTATCCAGACCGGGACGCCTGTATATTTCGAGTTTGGATGTTCTCCCTGTGGTCGCGTCGATTTTTATTCGGGTCCACCAGTTTTTCCCTCCACACTCAGATTCAAAACGCGTTTAGAGTCGTTGGCTGCTATAAATTTCCACATTACGATAAGCCATTTCGGTGAGCTATTATTTGTGGACAGGTCGCGTCTCAAAAAGAGCTATAGAGCTCAGTAGCACTTACCCGGTGAAATAAAAAGTTTAAGTTTATATTTATATGTATGTACGGAGATGATTGTACGTGTAGATACTTCTTGACTTAAAGCTTTCGTGACTGCAGGAATTCATATTCTTTGGGTCTTTCGGTAAAGTCACGTAGGTAGAAAAAATAATAAAAATAAAGTAATAAAAATGAAGTGGCGGCGGCTCTGCGATCTTACATTGACATGCTAATCTCTCACAATACAATGGCCACCTCCGCGCCCTCGTCGTGGAGGTAGCTCCCCGATCTTACATTGACTTGCAAATTTCTCACTTTAACATCACTAGCTCTGCCCACTTCGTTCATGACCCTTGGGCTACACACATTTCAAACCTTTAAAACAGCCTGCCTCAGCAGCTTTCCCCCTTTTTTCTCCTGATGACGATTGCTTGTGTTGCGATCAAAACGTTGTGATTTTTTTTGATTTTTTAGTCACTTTATTTTCATTTTTTCTATCTACGTGACTTTACCGAAAGACCCAAAGAATACCTGTAGATACTTGTTTGTCATATGTATTTTACACGTATGATTTAGCAACTTGTGTTTGTCTGGACTGCTGTTAAGTATCACCACAATAAGGATATCAACAGGATAATGTATATATAATTATATCATTTTATTCAAATTATTTGTATAATACAATATTGAACTTGCTGTACATCAAAGCACAGTGTGGAATACTGCTTAAACATGTATACATGAGCATACACATCCACATTAATTTATATGTGAAAAGGCCACTTCATAAATTCACTGAAACCCACCAGCATTGTACAATGTTGGCCAATCACAAGAGACACGAGCAGTCTTTTAAATAAACATTGCACAGCCAACATATAACAGCCATGTGAAACCCAGGTAACAACATCCCAGCAACACAGAGGGTTCACCTCCTGCCATTCAACGCCGTGTATATCGCCGAGTGCGCCTTTGTAAATGTGTTCACAGTGGTATAGTGAGCCGGCACAGTTGCTACGTATGCATTGATACATTTTGAATTTCTTTCACACCGTACGTAGCCAACCATACTTATCGGAGGTGCTGGGGGAAAGGACAAACTAAACTCAAAATGCAGCTACAACAGAAAATGCCATATTGTATCCAGTTATAACTTTCCAGAGCTATGTTAACTCTAAAAGGTTTAATTATATGATACCCTTAGGGACAATTCCCCCACAATCTATAATAATTCTAGATTAGAAGTTTTCGTGACTGCAACGGTCCATACTCTCTGGTTTTTTCGGTAGTCACGTAGGTAAAAAAGACGTGACTTTACCGAAAAAACCAAAGAGTATATATATTAAACACAAAATAAAATACACGTACCATAAAGGGAGAAGACAAAGTTCAATTGACATAAAAGTACTGCAACACTCGAATTATGTTGTATTAATTAGGACACCGAACTTAAGTTACGCAACAGAACTTTCCAGAGTATATTAGCCACATGCAAAAGTATTGCTATTCAGTCTGTTGGAAAAATGGTCCATGTTTTATGGGTTTATATGTTCGACAATACATTATATAAAAAGATCAACCAATAATTTGGCAAACTTATTTCTTTCAACATTTATTTTAATACTACTCAATTACAAAGGCTGCAGGTATGAACAGGTGAGATGTATGCAATTTCATGTTTTCTGTTACGTCACCTGGCAAACACTACACCAAACACACCATCAATAATTATAACCATATTTGTAGTGACACCGATTGCATTACACACAAAAAACAAACTGACACGGATGTGATCAAAGGCTGACCAAGTGACAAAAATTAGATCAAACTTTTTTTCCCAGTACACTTTCATTCAAGTTGTCTTACAAGACGGTCAATCACCTCATGAAAGCTCTATGCTACCTGTTCAGCACCTGTCCCAACAATCATCCCCCTGATGAAGGATACTAGTGCAGAGGAAGTTTACACCAATTCAGGAAATCATCCCTCCCATACGCTTGAACAAAGCCTTCTCTAAGTATTATCATTGGAACAACACAATTATCATATCAGGTACATTGCCAATATATTAGAGAACCTTTATGTGGCATGACATTTTTGAATTTCTATAATTTTGCACCGTTGTTAGATCCACCATTATTTTGTCTTTAGTGTAGATACCTCCATCCCATTATATTCTTTATAAAAGAAACTTACAGACTGGCAAAATATTTATTAAATTTTTTGGATATCATTCCCATCTTGTTAACCGATCTATTTCTTCCGATTGTCAGCAAAGACGTGGTGGTAGTGGCTCCATTGTCGATAATTGGGACACCACTACATTTTCACGAAACGTCTGCCAAACACGACGAATCGTCACGATGGGAATGACACCAATTACCTTTGCTCGCATCACCAATCTCATCTGGCAGCGCAGACGCAGCTCAACGCAACCCGCCGGCTCGACGGCGCGTCACGCATCGCACTAGCTCACGCTTCCACCGCCGGCGCGGTTACGCTCCAGCACGGCGCGCGGCGCAAACTCGCGCACGTCGTGCAGACTGTTGAAGTGGCCGGGGCCACCGGTGGCCACGTCATGGAGCTGCTCCTGAAGCCGGCGCTCCTCGCGTCGCTCCAGCACCCCGCGCTCCTCGTACGGCTGGCCCAGGTCTCCGCCGCGCGCCATCCACTCCAGGTTGTAGCCCACGAAGCCCACGACCAGCGCCGCGGGGAAGGTCACGTAGGGCGCGTAGGTGCGCATCGCGGTCCAGATGATCGGCCACATGACGCGCTCTACTCTGCCAGGGTTTGGAGAAAGCAATTTCAAACCGGCTCTTGTCTTTTTGTGCTGTCTTTTGTTGCGGTTTTGTATCTGTCAAGTGCAAAGGAGGGTGATGCGTTCCATAATGTGTCAGCAGCGTAGAGTGCGAAGGAGGCAGCAGAGCATTTTGTGTGGTAGTTTGGGCAAACATTTTCAGGTGGCGAGATGGAGAGATGTCAAAAGGCTGGTAGCGTTATGTGTCAAGCTTCTAATGAGCAATATAATTAAAAGTAGTAGGTGGGACAAAATGTACATACTTGTTGTTTAAAACAAGTGCGTACCCGTTGAGCGAAAGTCTCTTTTTCGAGGGAGATCTGGAACGGTAAGAATTTAAACAGTCAGACCACAACATCATTAACTTCACATAAATGTGAACATTACACAACAAGCAATACAATAACAATGCAGTCTATCATTGTAACAACTTTATTTCCGATAAACAACTGTGGAATTGGGCATATTGTATTGCAAAGGCAATGACACTCATAATACACGCGTTGATACAAGACCATCACAAAGCCAAAATATAACTCGAGATCTTCAGAACATTACTGTAGCAAGACTCGCACACTTAATTGTTCTGTAGCCATGGGGTTTTCTCGTCATGTACAGCTATGAATGACACTCCCTTGGCGAGGGTTACGACCGACTCGTGTGTTGTGGACGGGTAACGAGTCACAGAGCTTTAGGCAACTCCTCGAACGAGGCCCGATTATAATCCACTACCCCACCCATAACACCATGGCACTGCGCTACTGAAGCCCGAGTCCGACTCGTGGCGAACGTCAGTGGCGAGCAATACGAGAACCTGCCCTGGGCCTCGTCTCCCCTGCACCAAGGCGCACCGCCGATGTCGTGTGGCCCAGCAAACGCACGACTCATGCGCCACGGGGAGGGAGGCCTTCATCCAGCAGTGGAGTGACAAACGGGCTGTAACTTAAAACCATACCCGGCTCTCACGCTCACGAAGGCCCGAGGGTGATGCTCCTGGAATCGCGCGAAGGCCCTGTCAGTCGGTGAAGTTCGCCAAGGCCGCGTGGGCCCTTGATAGCCGTGTCGTCAATGCCCTGTACAAGGCCCTGCACGCGGTGAGCCCCGTGTGTGACCACTGAAGGCCCTGCTGACTGAAGGCCCTGCTGACTGAAGGCCCTGCTGAGTGAAGGCCCCGTGTGACCACTGCAGGCCCTGCTGAGTGAAGGCCCCGTGTGACCACTGAAGGCCCTGCTGAGTGAAGGCCCCGTGTGACCACTGCAGGCCCTGCTGAGTGAAGGCCCCGTGTGACCACTGCAGGCCCTGCTGAGTGAAGGCCCCGTGTGACCACTGCAGGCCCTGCTGAGTGAAGGCCCCGTGTGACCACTGCAGGCCCTGCTGAGTGAAGGCCCCGTGTGACCACTGCAGGCCCTGCTGAGTGAAGGCGCTGGACTCGGCGATGAAGCCCTGCGCTGTTCAGGTCCCGAGTGAAGGTGACACGCGGGGGACCCCCCCCCCCTACCTGACCCCTACGGAAGCCGCTCGGGCGGCTCAATTGCGAAACGCGTTATGCAAACAGCAGTCAACAATCGAGTGCAAGCCGATGCGAGCATTACTCCTGCTGCTTGTTCGTGCCATTGCACCTCAACGATGTGACACTGGAGTGGCAGCATGACACCGAAATAACGATTGGCACGCAGCAAGTCGGTGCACGAGATCGCTCTCAATGCGCGGCCACTGCCGTGTCGCTACGCCGCGGCGCAAGGCGGCACCCAGCGACGAGTGCACAGACATTGAGACCGTGGTCTTTATATTGTCCACCGGGGTCCCCCTGAGCCAGAGCGTGAACATTCCACTCACTCACGGCGGGGGTCAGGCTCTCAGTCGGGCAAAAGTCAAGAGGTCAATCATCGCGTCCATTGCCACTGATGGCATCCGCCCGTCCATTCCTTCTGCCAGACCCCGCAGTGCTTTTTATGAAGTCGAACCCAACCTCAAAGGTGCCCCTTTAAGTGTCCCCCCACGGTGTGGCTTTAAGTATCCCTCTCGCTTGCCAGCCTCTGGGTGCCACCCGGGCCCGCCTCAGCTCCTCTCGGATGGGAGCCCGGCCGAGCCTGTGGGTGGTGATTCACAGCGCTCAGGGGAGCGAACTTGCGTCAACCAAAGGGACGTTTGGGGGTGCAGGACCCACCACGGAACCCCCGCTCCCTATCTCATGAACTTGTCCATCATCTTTTTTGGGTCGATACAATGAGTACCAGTTCGTGAGAAAGCCAACAGTGGTTGCCCAGATTCACAGTGGATGTTTGGGTCGGATCGCGAAAGTAAAATCTGTTTCGCAAATCCTCCATCCGACACAGCCAATTAATAAAGTTGCCATGTGAACAAACGTGCCATGTTGTTACTGCTTTACGGGCACCGGTGGTTGCCCTATGGATACACTTCGCCAACGTCATAGGTCTGCGAGCGATGAGCGGGCTTGAAGAGTGAGTCCGTGTAGTTTTGATTGCGTTCTGTTGAAAGAGAGCGGACTACAATAGTTGTCTTTCTGGTCCATAGTTTGGGTTGCATGGCCACAAGCACACTGCTGTAGCTTTGTCTTGCATTTTCCATGTATAAAGATGTGCGCATTGGCCTGTTGATGTTCTGTTGCGGTTAATGGTTCCACCAGTGCCTTTGAGGAATGGCGGAGCCAGGAGGTTCGATGTTTGAGTCTTGGATGAGGTGTTTATTCGGGACATTCGTGGTGTCCCTCTATGTTCACCAGCAATTTCCCTCTGGATCTGGGTGGGATTCTAAGATGGTGACAGCAGCGCGGTTGCCCGAAAGGGATCGGGGCTTGAGTCGGCGGTGAGCGGCATTGTTGATATTTGGTGACAGGATGTTGGCCAGAACAGGTAGCCAGAGGATTGGCATCAGTTTCAGTGGCCTGGTGATGAGGCGCATTGCGTTGGGTATCTCGCAGTGTTGTGTCCGAGCTCCCTGACCAGACTGGAGCGCAGTGACTCTGCCACTGAGCAGACCAGAGGCAGGGCAGCAGCCAGCAGCACAACGGCTGAGAACCCCAGGTCGCACATGTCAGTTGAATAAAGCACAGAAACTCATCAGTAATTAATTCATATATTTTTTATTGTTTAAAATAGTGTTACAGTCAACAAGTCAGGCATTGTACTCGGTTTAAGATACCTGTCAGTTGCATCTCCATACGCAAACGCTACATGGACAGCAACATGTGCCAGGTCAGAAGTGCACGTAAAAAATAGCCATTCTCACGATAAGACGCCGTGGAGAATTCATGATATTCACAGCACACTTGTTTACGCCCCAGTGTATGTAATGTTAGATGCCTCTACGTAAAATTATAATAATAAAAAAATACAAATTATACTTCTAAATTACATATTACACATGTTTACATACAATAGCAGCTTTATAAATAAAAAGATAAATTAATAATATTGATTTATATATTTCCAAAATATTTACTATAAGATTATGATTGTCCATAACCCATTTCCTGGCAGTAAACTCTTCCAGTTTGAAGAGCATGTGAACACTTTATATGCCATCGATTTTTGCATACAATTCTCTCATATATTACACATGTTATCATGATTACAGTAATTATGTACTCATGATAAAAATTAATAGAGAAATTTGTATTGCCTCCAGTGTTGCAGAAAGCATCAATGAACCGTAGTAAAATGGGGGGGGGGGGGGGGAATGAACATGAGCGTTTTTGTTGTGAAGAACAGCATCACGTGTTATCAAAACTAGATAAATTAAACTTAGAACAAACTCCATAAACAATCTTTATACAGCCCTTAAGGGCTCATAAACATTAATAATGGTCGATATAGTGTGACAAGCAAGATACAAAATATGGAATGCATAGATATGCACAATTTGTTTCTTACATAATGCAATACTTAATATTTAATATGTGTAAGTATAATACAGCAACGAAAAATATAAGCATGCTATTTATTATTGAATGTGTAATCAGTGATTTCATACAGGATACATGCCAAAAGGTTCCATAGTAATGATGTGCATTAAAAAATAATGGAATGCTAGCTGCAGAAGGTGTTTTAGTTATCTCTGGAAGGCCAGGAACACTTCAGAATACTTGTCCCCTGCTTATGTGGCTTGTGAATAAACGCCCTGGGTGGTCGTGATTAGCACAGCTTAGATTTCCTGTCTATGGACGAGCTTCTAAATAGCACGCATCATTTTAAGCGACAACCCTGTTTACTGCTGTAAAAATGAGAATTTACAAGGTTGTATCAGTCACTACCCTTTTGTAACATCATTCTTTTTCAGAGATAGAATATTGTTGTTGCGTTTATTTGTACTGTTGCATACTATATGCACACGGCATGCACAATCTCCTTAAATAACAGGGTGAATAGTGAATATTCGGATTGTTTTTGTTTTCATAATAGTGTTTTGGAAAGGAGTTGACAATGTTAAAATAATGCCCATGCGGCTGGTAAAAAAAATACTTTGAGATGTGGTGAAAGTTTAACTGCCCAGTAATAATTGCACAACAAGTGGAAGTGAGCCCAAATGCGTGCGTCTTCATTTCATCCTTGCACGGTCGACTTAAATTTCCAATTGGGCGCATTATTTAAAGGTAAATTGCTGACCGTTTGCAATAAAGCTGATCAATTTTGTTGAAGGAGGAAGATACACAACGCTCGCTCTCCATCACCATCTCAGCAGGCCTCATTGTAAATTAATATCCATAATGCACTACATGATGTGCACATGCTCCACTTTAACTGCGTGGATTTTTATATAATCCAATTTCATACAGTGGATGTAAAACAGAGCATAGAACATATATATACACCTATGGCCTGCTCTCCCTGGAAACTCAAACTTATCTTGACGTAAAACCAATCCCAGTCCAATAACCTGCAAGGAAATGTCACACTATTAGGTTCTCCCAAACAAGGGCTGTAATACTCATTGGTGTTTTATGACCTTTATGTATGTGTGTGCACGTGCTGGTGTGCATATAATGTCCGTAACTTCAACTATAGTTTTATGAGTGCTTAAAGCTGTACACCAAAAGCAAGGTAGATTTTTGCTCGAATGCATGTGCCGTGAATGCTGAGTTGTGTGACAAGGGCCGGAGGTCTGATACAGAAGGCCATGCCTAAACTAGGCGCCACACTCAGGGTTAAGTTCATCAACATTTTAGTTTTAGTCTAGTTGGCCAAAATCTGTGGGATTTTACTCAAGTTTTAGTTTGTAAATTAAATTTAGTCATTAAAATAAAAATAAATGCTGACGAATATAACACTGGTCACGCTATAAGTGACAATAATTTCACTACTTTAAAACGCCTCCAAGCTTTGTGTTTCTGTTTACACGAGGTCACACCCAGTAGGTTCGATGATACAACTGAGATGCACTCACATATTGTGAGGCAGAATTTGCAGTCACGCCTCTCACCAACATTAGTCATGTGAATACCATGTTTAATAAGCAAGTAAAAATATAATTTCTATAAATAAAAAACACGTAGTTCAATTGCAGTGACTGCTCCTAAACGCAGCAACGTCACCCCCCCCCCTTCACCGTTATAGATACATGTCAAACATCCCAGATGCCAGCACCACTCACGGAAGACTGCATCAGCATTTCCCTTCTCTTATTCAACAGCAAATAGTAAAATGAAGTCACACAAAGAAAAACTCGTGTGTTCGGAAGGATGGGAAACGTAACAAAACAAGCTCACTAAAAATGTGCGCACTTTAAACAGAGACATACACTTATTTTACTGTCACGTGTGGGTGAACAGGACGGTTCATGTTGAAAGAAAATGTGTCGCGTGGAGTCTCTGGGGTGAGGAGGTTGCCAGATCACACATTCCTTCAATTACATTGACTGATTGACTTGGAATGCAGTGGCCTCTGGAGACAAATCGGTCATTGAAGTGTCAAAAGGGTCCCTAGGGATAAGGCTTAGCAAAACAATTAAAATGTTTGGCAAATCAAATTTGCTTTACGACATCATAACAACCACATGTACGTCACGGACAAAGATACAAAGCCATGTTATATATGATGACAGGCAGTGCATCTGTCAGGGTAACGTCAGCCAAACATGCAAGGGTCTCCAGTGTTACGGGCTGCTGTAAGCAGACCTGTCAGGCGGTGTGTTTTAAGTTGGCACTGATGCTGGATAAAGTATGGCATTAAAAAATGATTATCAATGGATGCAAAATGAAGTTGTCAAGCCAGCGTAGTTACTAAACCTAATTTCTGACACTCAATGAATGAATCTCCAGCACTGCGACATATAAATAACGAGGCATCTGTCTGTCGGTTAATCTTTCAGTTACCAGTCATCATCAATCCTCTCTCGAATTGGGTGCAGTTGCCCTTTGAAAACGCTTTCTATTAAACATTGATATACTAATTAATTTGGTGGTGCCTATTCGCATTTTGTTTTGCACGAGGAAAATAATAAACCCATGCAGTATTCCTGGCGAATAGACATTTGAAAGGGCCCAAGCGCCTGAGTTAGCTAAGAAATGTTGAGTTACGACGAATTCCCTCCATCGTAGAACACTATAAATTATCTCATTATACCAGTAATATGTTAACAGTTAACAAGATGCAATACATTTTTAAAAAGTCATGCACGCTTTCTGGATTCTACGTGAACACGTCTCTACAATAAAACTATATTTCTTAATCCGTCCGCTGCAGTGCAAATACACGCATGAATGTCGCGCGACTAGGCAGCACGTACAGCAAACCATCATAAACAGCCACTTCCTCAAATGTAGTAAGACCACCATGAAAAGTCAACGACCGAAGGAATGAGGTTGCCATCCGCATGCTCTTAACCCTGCAGGAACACCGACACGGAGAGGGGGGGGGGGGCTGCAAGTGGTCCGACTGTTCGTGATCAACGACGCAATGGAAATAAAAATTAAAGCGACGGTGGGCAAGAGTCTCGAGTGACTGATGGGGGCGTTCATGAGGAACGGTTCAAGTGATCGATGAGAGAGGAGGCGGGATTCTGGGAGGAAGGGGGGAGACTGTAAAGAGGGATGTCCTGTGGGGGGGGGGGGGGGCGTGAAGGAAGAGGATTCAAGTGACGCGAGAGGGGGAGAGGATCAGATTGAGTCGCAGGGATGGAGAGGACGGAGTCCTGGGAAACCCGCAGAGACACTCCCGAAGTGGGTCCAATACGAGCACTTTGTGGATGTATCAGCAGTCTGGACGTGAACGTGCGGCGTCAAACCAAGGGACGGCACGCCCTCTCAGAGTGTACAGAGGCATCACAGACTTTAGTTTGTCATTCATTAGTTGACAAACCAATGAGATGGATAGGGGCCAATCTCGAAGTTGGGGGTGTGGCAGTCAAGAAGCCATGGGGGGCTAAGTGGATGTAGGCTAAGGAGGGGGGGGCTGGAAAGGTGTTAAGGGGGGTGGGGGGGCATAGCCCATGGTTATCCGGCTGCCCCACTTATCCAAATTAAAAGACACAGAAACAATATTTTCTGAAAATATTGAGTCAATAATTGCCACTCCATCACGGTGTTCTTATAAAATGCTATGTTTGGGTGTAATGGTTTCAGTAAAAGTGTCTCTTTCTTACTATGCTTGTACATTATATGCATGTCTAGGGAGAGAACATTTTGTTGAGTACATACTGTATTGATGTAATTTACTAATTGAGAGGCATTTCACTTGAATTGTAAAAGCTGATATGTAATTAACTCTTCACAGTAATGTATATGTGTTAATTTAATCATTAAATGCATACCGGGACAATGTGTAATGTGTGTGCTGTAGAGCGCTCAACATGGTTTTAAATATATTTAAGTATATCCATTTGAAATGTTCCTGGCTGAACTAGAATTTAAAGTAAATGCCCATGTATACCCGTCACCCTAAAGTTGCTCAGTTCATGAAATGCATAAGAATGCTCCTATTCGGAACTCTATCATAAATACGATGAGACCTGCACGTAGACAAGGAGAACACACAACGGCCAGCTGAACATGGAGACTACAGAGCCCCGGGTGGGAATTCCAATGCCTCTCATCGGAACTGATCCTGTGCGTGCGTGCGTGAGCCGCACTTGGTAATGACCGCCTGCATATTCATCCACGTGCTCGGGCCTCACTGCATTCCGACCCCAGGGTGTTGTTGTGTGATGACCACGCCGAGCCAAACGCGGGCGGCTCGCCGGTTAGCCCACACGCTGAGGTAGTGTGCAACACAACTTGTATATCGCCTATGCAATGTGGCGCGGGTGGATTACAACGGAGATGAATTATCACTCGCAGCAGCGTCAAGTTGCTTCCACCTGTTTACAAGCAAATTAGACGAACACTTACACGATCCTCCAATGTAAGTCTGTGTCAAGGAGTGCAACACATCTGGCACATACCCACACACTAAACGGACTTGCTTGCCTCCCAGTTGCGAGCTGGCACGAATGCAGCGACAGCCCATTGGCGATGTTAAACCCGCCAGGTGGCACCTTGATCGGTGATTGTGCTCACAATCACAATGCGCTGGGGAGACCCTCTGCACTGAGCACGGGGGGGGCAGCCTCGTCGGATGCAAACACATCAATCACCGCTGGTTAACTGAGGTGGCATATCGGTTTGGTTGAATACATACGGTGCATACGTTCCATTCAGTACATCGGGCGTCGTGTCCTCCTGTAGCGAGTGAGTGTAAATGGAGATGTGTTTTGTCTGCTCTGTCCTAGTTTCACAGTCCCTTCAAGAGTGATGTTTTATTCATATCTGCAAAACTGTCACGCGTCACCTTCACTTGAGTCGCGTTTTTCTTAAATGCAACTTCGCAGCAGTGCGTGTCACGAACTGACCACGCAAGCACACGACAACACAACAACTGCCCTTGTCATCATCAGCCATGGTCACTCCACTGCTGGCTAAGTGCGTATCGGTCAAATCACCCCTTCTCACTCACTCGGCACATTGTTGTGGTGCTTTTGTGGACGCAGGAGTTCTGGAGGAGTACCTGAGGCCCAATGATTGCGGGTTACCATTTACAAGTCATAAGAATAAAAAATAGCTAGTATCTATATATTTTTGTTTCTGATGCAGTGAAAAATATTTTTTTTGCCACACGACCTTGTTGAGGACATATTGCGATGTCTTTTACACCCCCGCACACATAATTATATCTCTTGTATCTACACGCAGATCTACAACATTATGATGTCATGGTTACCAATGACCACGGCCACAGTAAGTGAAACTGTGTGCGTGTAAAAGGAGTACAACTAACATAACTTACACTTGACCTTTCAGGCACTGTCCTCCTCCACTGTTTAACTCCATACCTAGTAGATGCTTTTGCTACGCTCTTGTTAACTGATACTTGTGTGTGTGTGTATATACTGTGTGCACGTGTGTGTATTAAGTAAACATTATGCAGATGTACGATGGATTTGTATTGCGTGTCCTCTGATGATCTGGACTCGTGTGGTAGCTTACGTTGCTGTGCATGCCCAACGGTTAGAACTGCTTTTACATTCACAATCTCGGACTGTTTTGCATTTCCATCCCATTCCACATTCCACTCGCATGGCAATGGTGGGCGCCATACGCTCTCAATAATCAAAATATCGCGTTAGACACGAACACGTTATGAAATCTGAATATTGCGCATTTCAAAAGAGGGGGGAGGGGGGGCAGGGGTATCATTGTTATCTGGCTTGCCGGCCGATGCGTCTGATGGCTACATACGCAAATGAAATGCCGTCTATGCAAACTAATTTGTGAATGTCTCCAGCACCGGCCTACTGTGGGATGCCCTGCCATGTGCAGTGCTGACCTTGCATGCGATGCGATGTGCTACTCCCCGATTGGCTGTGTTGGTATGAGGTGCAGGCGTAACGCAAACATCGATGTAGTCAAAAGACACCGCGAAACATTCTTGACCGTCTTAATCACATCCTCCATCGCACAGTCAGTCATCGCGCGTTCGTTGCTGAGGGGTTGAAGGTGGAGGGATTGAAACTAAATCTGAGACTGTGACATTGTGTGCGCGTCCGTGTTAAAGCATGGAGTGTGGGCGCCAGGGCGAGGCCCCGCGACCCCATCGCGAGCGATGTTGCGGCTGGTGCCCCTGGTGGACACCGCAGTCGACCCTCCTGCACCGCGTGCCAGGCGCCGCTGTCCGCGTGCCACCAGACCCTGGCCAGCCTCCCGTGGGGCACCGCGCTCAGCTGCTGCTGCTGCTGCTATTGGCTGCTGTGTCAGTGGCTTTCATAGTGGAGGGTTCGATTGGAGCAAAGTGTCAGCGCAGACAAAGCGTAGCCTGATTCCTCTTTGAATAATGCAGTGTTACACTTGGCTGAACTGGCCCTCTGCCACCAGTGAAGCTGAAATCTCATTCGTGGCACTTAATTCGTATTCGCGATGCAATGAAAGTGTGCTTTCAACAATGTAATGTGAACCTGACACCATTGCACGTGTAAGCCAATATTTCTTTGACAGCATAACTGAAACATTACGACTGTAGGGGAGAACGCGTGGGGCTGGGCATTGCGTTGCAGCGGCGTTTGACACTTAAGGGTTCAGATTGTGGATATGAGAAACGAGTACAGAATCATCTCTTAAGACTCCTCTTAAGTCCAACAGACCGTACGAGTGGGCCCCACAGCTATATAGCTTTATGAATACCCAATGTCGTCACTCTCTTAGATACTCGGACTTACGACAAGTCTCATATAAAACTTACACAATGTTAGGGCTGTCACAAGTCGTTCTGTACTCCGACCCCTGGAATCCCATGCAGGCAGATGCTTGTGAGCATGCTGTACGCACACCCCAGACTGAGTGCAAGAAAGCAAAGAACAGCATGCCACGAGTGTGGTAATACATAACACAGCTGAAGCCTTTGGGATCATGCCACCGGATGCTTGTGTCACGTCTATAACCTCATACCTATACTTATCAAGAGCACAGAAAGTGTCGGCGAATGTCGCAGGGGAATTGTGGAATGCGGTGGTTGTGCTTACTATTATTTTCTCCAGCAAAGAGAGCAGGGCTGCGACTTAAATAGCGCTGAATGCCACCACACCGCGCACAGTGGCCCATGTGCATCCCGGGGGAATATGAGAGGTGGATATATATTTAGATTATAATATATCTTTTTGATTTTCCATTTAAATAGCGTTGCAATTTCCCTATACTTAACTGTCCAGTCATAAGGCTTTGTCAATGGTTCCGTGACTTTCCGCACCTCCAATTACCGTGGTTGGCTACGAACGGTGCGAAAGAAGTTCAACATACATACTTCTGTTAAAATTATACCACGCTTCACATTTGGCACAAACTCGTCATTAATGAATACATTTCTCTCTCTCTCTCTGTTGGTTCAGCCTGCAATGTTTTCCACACATGTAAGTGTATAAAATTCTCACCCAGTGTGCATGTAAACATATGCATTTTTAATTTTACTAAATGGGATTCAACTACTCTTTGTTTTAACAGGCTTCTGCAAAGGATGCTATTCGCCCGTAAATAACACTCAGCGGCATAATGTCTGGGGGCTAAAGAAATCATCCGAGTGGACATCGCCGTAAATACCCGAAATATTTGATTTGTTACAGTATCGATGAGACCGGAGGCGATCTAGAGAAGCAGCGAGCAGGTCACATTTGCTATGCTAAGTCACTAGAGCCAAATACAAATCTTGGTCCTTTAAAACCATCAAAAGCCACAAATGTTCCCCGTTTCACATTTTGTACATCCACCTTTAGCGAAGACCCTGCGTACGGGGGGGAGAGGGAAGAATGTGCAACTCCAATTCAGTCTCCGTCTCTCGGCTTCATTGACGTTCAACCGTTTGCCGCCTCGCTTCCCAAATCCGCAGAGTTTCTTCCACGTCCATTGGCAAAACTGATTGTCGAAGACAAAGCGGCCTTGTGGTTGGTCCGTAGTGGTACATCTCATCGGATCTAAAACTCGAGGCTGGATCGCCGCCGCATCTGCTGACCGCTTGCAAATTCGTCGACGAATCTGCCGTTGCGATGGTTTCTGCCGCCTGGCGCGTAGTCCTCTGTCGCGTCACAGCGCTCGCACGCGACGCTCGTCGTTCCATTGGCCGGCCGCCGCAAGCGCCGCTTGGCTCTAGAAGGAGCGCATGTACGGCGCCTCGGCGGCGCTCTCCAGCGACGATTGCGACGGCCTGCGCGCCACCTGCGCCAGCGTCGGGTCCACGAGCGAGAAGGTGGGGAAGAGTTTGTACCAGCCGATGACGGCGCTGCTCAGGTCCAGGTCCTCCAGGAGGACTTGGGCCGCTCCCATGAAGCACTTGTTGTCCATCCGCCCGTAGTCGCCCCACACAATGATCTGCAATGAAACGTAACGATTATTTCACGTGTTATACGACGAAACGGGTCAGCCGGTTGCAGAGGTGCGCGGTTGAAGACCGGCGGCCACCCTGGTAAATACTGCAAGTGTATTGACCATGGAGTATGTGCCGTCTGCTTCGCAGCGGGCATTAAAGGTCTCCGGGCAATGTTTCAAAAGAGAATCGGCCATGTGTGCCGGTGTCACGTTCCAAATTTGGCAAGAATAAAAATTCCTTGCTAATTTATTTGGTAAAACAGCGCAGCAAAATGTGTTAAGTTATCATTGTTGTTGTTGTTGACTTCATGAACTTTCGCCTCTCTTTGAGCTCACCTGTAAGACTTTGCCGTGGGGATTCTCCTCGAAGATGAAGTGCTGCTGGTAAACGGGGTCCAGGCTGCGTCGAGCCACCTTCGTTTTCTTCTTGGCCAAGCAGGTGCCGCTCTCCAGCAGGTAGAGCTTCACGTACGGCGCTGGGCGCACGCCAAGGGGAAGCCACGATGAGCGTGAGACGACCACCACTCGCAGATACACCTCATCGAGGCGTCAGTAGTTTGTACGCCAACCAAGTCTAAAAACTATTTTTTATTTGATCAGGTAAAGTCCAGTGTGCTGTCTAGCTATTTTCAGAAACGAGACGGCTACAAATTATAGCTCAACGAAGTGGCTTATCGCGTGGAAATTTATAGCAGCCAAATATACTAAATTTCAAATCAATTTTAAATGTGGAGGGAACAACAGGAGGACCCAGACAAAACTCAACGCGACCACAGGGAGAACATGCAAACTCAAAATATACAGCAGGCATCAGGGTTGGGATGGAACCCACGACCTCCTGTATACCAGGCGAGGTAGTTAACATCTCGCCACCATGCAGGTACAGCCGAGCATCTGACAATCTTGCAATCGGGAGTTTGTGAATTCAAATTGGAGTTGACGATTGCCCATCAACATTCTGGGGTTGATTAAATGAGTACCACCTTGTGGGGAAGTAAACAGCAGTAAAAATGTGGAATTTTATCAACTGGCTCAAGGCCGTAAGCAGGATATATCACGATATTGACCGCCCCTCCCCCGAGTCACCCAGCCACCTGCAGGCTTCATTCTCACCTGGCGGAGATTTGGATCCACGTTTGGCGCTGAGTCCTCGCGCTCGGACGATCTCGACCTCCAGGTGACCTGTCCTGTCCACCATCCCAACCTGGATGTCACCTGAACACAGCCGAACATTCGCAGTGAATATCTCACAACGCCAACGCATGCCCGTACAACACATCTTGACAGGTTCACAATCAGAAGGTCAAAATTTTTTATGTTAGTTGGTAGTCAACTGAGCCGATCCTTCTTATAGGTTTGGTAAACTGAGTCACACTTTGGTTGTCTTATAGAGGAATTGACTGCCATAGGAATGTGGAATTTCCGCCACCGGCTCAGGGCCACGAATGGAAATGAGCACAACCCCATGCTCGCTGTACCATTAACACTCTTTGACTTGTTCGTAAATGTCCAATATCACATTTTCTCTTTTCTCAATAGTCAAATAAGAAATCCTAAGGCAATACAAATAAATATTGTATTTTTACTAGTATTCATTTGTTTTATTATTTCCCTGGCACAGGAATATCGAAGGCCCAATCAATGCGGTCATTACCTGAGGTGGACGTAATACCGCTATTGGATTTCCCTCAGGTCCAGAGAGGCGCAATCCCTGCTGGCCAGGCCCGGCTTGCGTGCCCCACGACACTTTGTGCTATTTCGCTCTCTGCCTCGGATGCAATGAAGGCCTGCACGAGGCCTTATAGTAAGTCATGACCAAACAAACGCGTTTTTTGTTACTCTGCCGTCTTAATTTTATGCCAAGCTGTCGACTTGTTGAGATAACGTCACTTGCAACTGTATGGATTCCTGCAGTCACGAAGGCTTCAAATCAAGATTGCAATTGTATGCTACATACATCCTCGTATGTTTACGTGCGAGTGAGTCCATTAATATTTGTGCGAGTCTGTCCCTCTGTGGGACTAAATGTCTCCGTGTGAGTCTATACGTCCCTGTGTGAGTCTATGGATCTCTATGGGAATATATGGGTCTCTATCATACCCACTTTTTCCTTTATTGCGTCTGTGTCTCTTACACGTGAGACACAACGCTCGAGCGTGTGGTAAACTAACCCGCACCACAGCTCATGCCAAGAGGCATTGTGGGTGCAGTGCGTCGTGACCCCAGTGCGTCTCAAGTCACCGTGACGACAAGGGGCAGCACAACAGATCACATTGTCATCCTCCTGACGCTCAGCTCCAGCCTCTCATTCAAATTTCAGCCGTGGTCTTAAAGTCTCCAATTCACACCGAATTCTATCCCAGTTAAACAACCGATGCTTGACATGAGCTGTGTAAGGTAAACACTTCGTGATCATTGTTATTGGTTGTGCCGTCAAGGATTGTTCTCCAGTAATTTGTCGTGCTGATGACCACCATCAACGAGTTGACTAAAACACCTCCAGTGAAAAATTGCCCTCAGTTCACAGCGACACGGGCTGACGGCTGAGAGAAAGTTTCTACCTAAGCTTATGCAAGCGGTCACACGTTTGTGTCACCTTGAAACAAATTGTACGGAGGTTCGCTTAATTAATTAAAGCGGTGCCTTTGATGAAATCCCAGCTCTTGCAGGCGAGCAGAGTCGTTCGGCAGAGAGATAATTCAGCAATTAACGACGATGTTTGATAATAGCACAAAATCAACAAAAAACGCGAAACCATGGCTGGCATTTCCACTTAGCACGTTTCAACCTCACAAGACTGGACTGCAGTGAAAACTAAAAACATATCAAATATATTCTCACTTTCAAATTAGGGATTAATAAATAGCTGTGGTAGAGTAACGTGTCGGTACAACCACCTCTTACAGCCTGTCTGGTCAACGTGGAAGAGTAAACCAAATACCCTCCATAATTCTCTCTGGTGGAGACCCTTCTGTCAGCAGTGGAATGACCAAACAATTTCAGGGCTGCACCTTTATATTTATTACCTATAAAGAGTAATTCCTTATTATATTTTCCCCTGGCAACTACTGCTAAATTAAATCTCAGTTTAAACAAAAATGATCCTCAGTGTGGTGCGATTCAGTGTGGAATACAAGACATACTATTTTAAACTTCGCCACCCGGCAGTGGCGTGGCTACCACTGGAGTTCATTTCCTAATCCTCCGCTGTCTCTCCCAGTTAAATTTCGATTTAAAGCTTTCGTGACTGCAGGGATTCATCTTCTTGGTTCTTTCGGTAAAGTCACGTAGAAGGGAAGTAATAAAATAATAAAAATAAAACATAATAAAACAATTCTCACGACGTTTCGGCCACAACGCAAGCAGCCGTCCTCAGGTGAAAACCAGGTCCGTCGAGGCGACAGAGTCTGAATGAAACAGCACACGAGCTTGGAGCATATATATAAGCTGGGCGCATTGATTAGTACTGCATATGCATGTGCATTATGCAGGATTAACAGCATCAAAGGGAGCTGCAGTTACTGCTGCTGCAGCAGTTGCTGCTGCTGCTGCAGTTTCTGCTGCTGCTGCAGTTGCTGCTGCTGCTGCACTTGCTGCTGCTGCTGCACTTGCTGCTGCTGCTGCACTTGCTGCACTTGCAGCAGCAGCAGCAAGTGCAGCAGCAGCAGCAAGTGCAGCAGCAGCAGCAAGTGCAGCAGCAGCAGCAACTGCAGCAGCAGCAGAAACTGCAGCAGCAGCAACTGCTGCAGCAGCAGTAACTGCAGCTCCCTTTGATGCTGTTAATCCTGCATAATGCACATGCATATGCAGTACTAATCACATTCCTGCATTTCCCATAAATATGCTAAATTCCTTTTGATATGCAAATTCCTTTGTCAATGCGCCCAGCTTATATATATGCTCCAAGCTCGTGTGCTGTTTCATTCAGACTCTGTCGCCTCGACGGACCTGGTTTTCACCTGAGGACGGCTGCTTGCGTTGTGGCCGAAACGTCGTGAGAATTGTTTTATTATGTTTTATTTTTATTATTTTATTACTTCCCTTCTACGTGACTTTACCGAAAGAACCAAGAAGAGGTCTCTCCCAGTTGTTTATTACACGCTAAAGAATGTACATCGTGTGCAGAAGAGTTGCCAAAAGGTCAGCACGTCTATTACATACGTTTGGCACAGCAAGTAATGATAATAAAAAAACGCTACTGGCCCTTGTCAAATCACTGCTGGGTGAAGGCCTCCCCCTTTCGGTTGGTTGACCATACTTCACCGGGATGGTCAGTAGGGGTCGGGGCTGGTTTCGATATCACTCGCGACTCAGGCGAGATCGGGGTTAGGAATCAAATTGAGGCCATCGACCCGAGAGGGCAAAGCGCCTCCCCTCCTCCCTCCGCCAGAGCCAGCAATCTCGCCAATCTTGCGGGTGCGTCTCAATTGGCAGCCGTTTGCCATTAACATGAATGTGGCAATACGTGGATTGAACACGCAGGACTTTAAAGCAAAGCGCTGCAGTTACTACCACAAACTGCAGCGATCTACAAAAAGCAGTCAAGTGTCTCATATTCACACTCGCGGTGAAGGAGGCTCATCTCTGTGGCAGTTGTTGCGAGCCATAACAAAAGTGTTACTCAGAACAAATGGTGCTGACTGAGCTGAGCAGCTCTCTAGAAGGTTCAGCGCCACGGGTTATTGAGGATGCCATCAAGAGTGTGGTCTGACAGCGCTCTGTACCTCCCTTACCCTCCCCGACTCACACCTCCTCCATCTGCCCGACACAGATGAAAGTGAACCAAGAATGTGAAGGGCACCGTTATGCAACGACAAATGTCATTACTCTTTGGTTCTTTAGGTAACGTCACGTAGAAAATCAAATCAAATACTACAAGCAGCCATCATCAGGTAAGAATGAATGATAAAACACAGACACGGAAACACCATAGGCAGACACACATGCAGAGACACACCGAGCGAGACACACACATGCAGAGACACACGCACGGCGTGTCTCTGCATGTGTGTCTGCCTATGTTGTTGTTTCCGTGTCTGTGTTTCATCATTCATTCTTACCTGATGATGGCTGCTTGTGTTGCAACCGAAACGTCGTATTCTATTATTCTTAGATTTTATTTTCTACGTGACTTTACGGAAAGAACCAAAGAGCAATTCCTGCAGTCACGAAAGCTTCGAATCTAGTTTGACAAATGTAATGTCCATTAGAAACCAAGGCGTGCGCTGTGGTGACTGTCAGGCCGTGGGAAACGAACGAACTGACGCTGTACAGGCCGCCTCACTGGTAAACACACCTGGCACGCGACGACACGACCGTGTACATTGTAAATGCAAATCACCCTACGCCGCGGATAATGAAAGCACATTCACAACAACAACAGATAAAGTGGTTATCCCTCAGTCGTCTCTTTGGGATGCGTGTTGTGTGTACAATGGAGGTTGAAAGTGTTAATGCAACGTGCGGAGCCGGGAAGAGAGGCTCTGAGTGAGGGCTGTTGTAGGAAGCACTCAGCCTCAAGTGAGCAGCTACTGGTGCGGTGTGCAGTAAACATCGCCACTCGGGAGACAAAGGCGGTCGGGCGTGGTGCTGGCCACCCACCCCATCGTGTACCCTGCTGGCCTTCATATGCGCTACTCGCTAACAGCACTTTCCCAAAAAGTCCGTTGAGGCAATACGGGGGATCTTTGTCTTTGTTGTTGTGCCCCTTCCCCCTGTGTGAGTGTGTTTACCCTAATCTGCCGGCAAGGGTGCTGCTGTTCACCCTGTGAGGGAAGGAGTCAGGCAAGGACAGCTTGAACATTCGACGCGTGTACGAGGCAGCCTCCCACAGGGTTCGACACGCGGAGATGAGAAACCCCGCCGAGACCGCATAAATTACCGGCGGTGGTGGCCGACTTGCTCCCAGTCTAACTGCTCACAGTGGATGACAAATGTCGTTGCGTTCCCCCCAATTCAGCAATTTAAGTTGGATGTAAAAACTCAATAAATGAGAGCCGCGTGCGTTGTTTATCGAGGAGTGTTTCGTGTCAATCCACCTGCGGTCTCAAAGGGAATCGTTCGTTAACGCTCTCAAGGTAATGAAATGGCTTTTGACGCGACGGCTCTGCTGGCTCGCTGTGTTTGAGTCACCCGGCAACATTGCTCTGCTTTGTGCCATAGTTAGGCCCGGAGCAATCAATACGGTGACTCCTGGTGCCACGTGATTTGCCTTCGGCCATGCATCAGCACTGAGCCTCCTGCACGTAAATGCATGTTCGGAGCTCCCTGTAGCTCTCCGCAGTTTTATATTGCCACGTGAACACACGTCATCATCATCAGCCATGACCAATCCACCACTGGATGAAGGACTCCTCAAGCCGTCACCGTCTCTCTCATGGTCTTGCGAGATAACAATACAAATGTAACTTTTCATGAATCCAGACATTTTCAACTCAAAAATGTGTTCATGCTGAAACACACATTGCGGCCAGAGGTCATTCATCACCAGCGGCCCTGAGCCAGTGGTGTAAATTCCACATTCCCATGGTGGGGTGGGGGGGGCAGTCTATGCAGGAGATAGGCCAACGTTTAGATCACTTAACGTGGCACTTGATTTCCACTCTCCATGGGCAGTTGGAGGCGTGCTCCTGTGAGGATGGAACCGTCTCATTTACTGGTGCACTCTTCACCGTGTCCAGCCCCACACAGGGGGCCCTTGACGCAGGCCATGATACTGACTCACTAGGGCAGAGTTCTTCACTGATTCTAAGAGGGAGGCCACTTTCGCCGATAAGACATCATCAGTGTGGTGGCCGCCATACATTTAAAACCATTGGGTTTGACAGCAGCACGATGATGGGGGGGTGTTGTCGCATTTGTGTGTTGAGGGGGGCCGCACTGAAGGCCACCTGGGGGCCTTGGAATGAAGTACACTGCACCAGGGGACCCGGCCGGTATCACCCAAACAAGTTCCTCACCAACAGATGGCGTCGCCAGGGTCTGCCGCCCGACCATCTGAGCAGGGCCCAGCCCGTCCAGGAAGTCGCTGAACTGGCTGTCGGGCCCGAACCGCAGGCCCGGGAACACGAGGCTGCAAGAGGGCGCCACAGCGAGGGGTCAAGCGCCGTGGCCACTGCGAACAGTGCCCACGAGGTGCGGTGTATATGCTGTAGGCAGTGAGCGTTCAACGAAAAACTGTACTCATGTTTTGTTTGAAATAGCAATGAACGAATGACCGGTGTGGTGAAGTATGGTCAAATAACTGACACGGCGTGGGGAAGCCGGCAGGCAGCAGCGGGCTGCAGACGAAACGCTCGCATTCACCGCCGCTCCACTCTCACCCTCAGCCCTGTCGCGCTCGCGACATTTAATTCCCAGCCTCCCAGCTCGCCTCCTGCACAGTTCTGCTTTGGGAATCTATCCGCCTGTGTCACACTCGGCTCTACGCCTTCTCCTCCTCATCACCACCATCATCACCCCTCCCCTCCCTCTACGCCTTACTTTATTCGCCGTGGGACTCTGCGTGCTACTAATAAAATAGCTGCCCTTCCAGGAGGCACGATGCACTGACTCATCAAATAAAGCTCTGCATTTGAGAATCAAATTCACGAAATGTGTCCACATTTTAACTGAACAAATAAAATTGTGACACGGCGTTGGCAGCGGTACCGATGTTCTTTCGTAGCAGAGCGAAGTTCGCCTATCAATATTTCGTTCCTGTCAGGGCCGTGTTTTGACAAACGTGTTTTCTTTGCAGTGTGAGTGGTTCACATAAACAATGTAGCCACGGGAGAATCGACTTGCCTGCAATGGCCAAATAAATAACACATTTCCAAATCAAATCGCTAAACAAAGTTGTAAAACCCATCACACCACTCACAGTGCAAACTCTTACCCCTAACCCAACCCCTTATCCTAACTCAAACCCAAACCCTTACCCTAACCCAAACCCAATCCCTTACTCTAATTCAAACCAAAACCCTTACCCTAACTCATACCCAAACCCCTACCCTAACTCAAACCCAATTGGGCGGCTCGCCCAAATCCGAACCCGAACTCAACTCGAACCCCGAAGACGTCAACTTGAGTCTCCTCGCCCTGCCACTGCGCGCTCTGCGCTCTCCCCCACACACCCACGTCCCCCGCCCCCCACACTCTCCCACACACCCACGTCCCCCGCCCCCCCACACTCTCCCACACACCCACGCTCTCCCCCACACACCCACGCTCTCCCACACACACCCACGTCCCCCCACACTCTCCCCCACACACCCACGCTCTCCCACACACACCCACGTCCCCCCACACTCTCCCCCACACACCCACGCTCTCCCCCCACGCTCTCCCCCACACACCCACGCTCTCCCACATACACCCCCGCCCCCCCACACTCTCCCACACACCCACGCTCTCCCCCCACGCTCTCCCCCACACACCCACGCTCTCCCACACACACCCCCGCCCCCCCACACTCTCCCACACACCCACGCTCTCCCCCCACGCTCTCCCCCACACACCCACGCTCTCCCACACACACCCACGTCCCCCCACACTCTCCCCCACACACCCACGCTCTCCCCCCACGCTCTCCCCCACACACCCACGCTCTCCCACACACACCCCCGCCCCCCCACACTCTCCCACACACCCACGCTCTCCCCCCACGCTCTCCCCCACACACCCACGCTCTCCCACACACACCCCCGCCCCCCCACACTCTCCCACACACCCACGCTCCCCCTCCACGCTCTCCCCCACACACCCACGCTCTCCCACACACACCCCCGCCCCCCCACACTCTCCCACACACCCACGCTCTCCCCCCACGCTCTCCCCCCACGCTCTCCCCCACACACCCACGCTCTCCCACACACACCCACGTCCCCCCACACTCTCCCCCACACACCCACGCTCTCCCCCCACCCTCTCCCCCCACGCTCTCCCACACACACCCACGTCCCCCCACACTCTCCCCCACACACCCACGCTCTCCCCCCACACTCTCCCCCACACACCCACGCTCTCCCCCCACGCTCTCCCCCCACGCTCTCCCACACACACCCACGTCCCCCCACACTCTCCCCCACACACCCACGCTCTCCCCCCACACTCTCCCTCACACACCCCCCCACACTCTCCCCCCACACACCCACGCCCTCCCCCCACGCTCTCCCCGACTCACTTCCCCTCCGACATGTAGCTCTTCATGCTGTCGTCCGTGGACTCGCGCGACGCCTGGCGCCCCATCTGCAGGTTGCGCATCTCGGCCGCCATGCCGGTCTCCGTGCTCCTCTGCACGGTGCTCCGCAGCTTCTTCCCGCCTGGAGCAGTGGGGACAGCGGGGAGACGGGAGAGCGGGGACAGCGGGGAGACGGGGAGAGCGGGGACAGCGGGGAGACGGGAGAGATTTGCGGATGCCGTTAGGGGCGATGAACCCCGGAGGGGACACGCGGCGCGGATGGAGGAGGCCGCTGCCGCTGCTGCGGCGGCCTCGTTGGAGATGAACGAACACCGCACGCGGATGGAGGTAGCGACGCAGAAGGGCATACATAGGGTTGCTAGGGACAATGATGTCAAGAGAGCCGCTGTTTAAAAGCGCATTAACCAGTGCATGGGAGCATGGACATTGCACCCAAAATAGGGTTGGGTTTTTCATAAATACAATTTTATTGGATTGACTTATATCCGAAACCAAAAATGTTTTGGGAGCAACCAAAATGTCATATTTAGGCCCAATTTTGGGGGATTTTTTTCTTCTTCAGATCGTTCAAAAAAATGTGGGCCACGTCCCTCCTAATTATCGACGAGCTGTGGCCCCCCCGTGCCTGGCCCTCCCGTGCCTGGCCGCGGTGCCGAGATGGTGGCACTCGAGGTGGTGGTGGCACTGGAGGGGGGCGAGAGAACGCGTGGGGCGGGCAGGGTACCTCATGCAGAGATGCCACCGAGCCATTTTGCTCACAGATGAGAAGACGATTGCTCCAATTGCCACTATCACTCATTAATGAAATATCAAAGTGTCTCCATGCTCAAATGAGCATTGATGTACTGCTCGTTATTGAAGGATGACCACTGGCAGCTTCCAACAGAGTGGTGGCTATGTTATTGATCCCTGACGGATGATGGGCTTAGACGGCCCCTGACCTGGATTTGAACTAACAGCCTCCTGATGCTTTAAATAATCATCATCATCATCATCATCATCCAGTGTCTCTACTGCTGGATGAATGTCTCTCCACGCTGTCACCATCCCTCTTGGTCGTGCAATGTCTCAATCTCTCCTGCACCTCCGCTGATCTCATCGATCCATCTCTGTTGTCTACGTTACTCCCCTGGCAGCTCTGCAGCTGACGATGCATACGGGCACTGTCCTAAAAGATAAGAACTCAACTTCACTGAGCATATTTTCCGTGGGGTGTCGCTCCGTCTCCTCTGCTGCCACCGTGGGTTTGAAACTCCATTCTCCAGCTGCCCAATGCTCTGGACTGGCTGCCCCCCTTCTAGTCCAGGCTAAAGACCTTCCTGCTCGCCCCTGACGATGCCTATCTCATGCACAAAACATTTTACATCAGCAGAAATGATGGCTCTCCGTGTTTCCCCGTGACGCACACTTCCCACTGTTTTGTACAGCGTTCTGAGATAAGGTTACATTCGGATGTTACATAAATCCGAGTTGTATTGTGGAGCAAACAGACACATTTATAAATCGCACACACACAGAGACATGCGCCACTTTAAATTCGTGCCCTGTGATCTGCCATATTAAAGGGAACGTATAAATAACGTTTTGATTGATTGATGCTTTAATCTCTGACCGCTGTAGAGAATTTAGCTGGGGGAGGTTGCAGACATTGATCAACTTGCTCGCCACAATTCCACACGCACCTTCTATCAAAATATCCCCCTGGTGTTTTGGAATAATAAAAGCACGGACGTTAGTTGTTTCAGCACATCCTTTGTTATTAACGTACACACAGCTGATGAGAACGATGGGACAGAAGCTAGACACAAAAGCTCGCAAACCCACGGTCATCGCAATCAGAGACCCGCAGTCATCACAGGGACCAGCAATCATCACAATCAGAGACCAGCAATCATCACAATCAGAGACCAGCAGTCCCTGCCCGGCGCCTGTACGAAAGCAGAGGGCACGAACGGGCTTCAGCTGATATTGGCAGCTCCGCCGATGCCCGTGAACGCTGCCCATGAACGCTGCCCATGAACGCTGCCCATGAACGCTGCCCATGAACGCCGAAATAACTCCATGCGCGTGATTTTTATTCCACCAAACGAATCCTTCCGAGTCCGGCAAGGCCATCAGAGGCCACTGGGTGACCACACCAGGCCGGTCACTGCCACGCGTGCAACCAGTCCCGTAGAGATCCCACATCACGAGCGGGGTCCTGCTCCTCCTCGGCCGCCACACCCGACAGCCCAATAAATAGGTCAAAGTAATGGTGAAGGTGCAACCACGAATGTTACCTTGGCTCATTATTGTACAACCATCGATTCTTGAGTTGTAAGCGGAATGGCAAACGTCGCTCGGTTAGTCCAGTGTGGTACGATGCCGTTAGTGAAGGTGGTGGAGGTCAAGGCGCAGTCCTGCAAGTGCTGGGCTCACGTCACTGATGGCAGAAGGGCCCCCACTAGGGGCTGCTGGAGAGAGCTACTCTCGGTGTTTATTTCCTGCCTTTTCGCACTGACCAGATGTCCGGGTAGACGGAGACAGCAGAATCCCATTAAATTTCGATTTAAAGCTTTCGTGACTGCAGGGATTCATCTTCTTGGTTCTTTCGGTAAAGTCACGTAGAAGGGAAGTAATAAAATAATAAAAATAAAACATAATAAAACAATTCTCACGACGTTTCGGCTACAACGCAAGCAGCCGTCCTCAGGTGAAAACCAGGTCCGTCGAGGCGACAGTCTGAATGAAACAGCACACGAGCTTGGAGCATATATATAAGCTGGGCGCATTGATTAGTACTGCATATGCATGTGCATTATGCAGGATTAACAGCATCAAAGGGAGCTGCAGTTACTGCTGCTGCTGCAGTTTCTGCTGCTGCTGCAGTTGCTGCTGCTGCTGCAGTTGCTGCTGCTGCTGCACTTGCTGCTGCTGCTGCACTTGCTGCTGCTGCTGCACTTGCTGCTGCTGCAGCAGCAGCAGCAACTGCAGCAGCAGCAGAAACTGCAGCAGCAGCAGCAACTGCTGCAGCAGCAGTAATTGCAGCTCCCTTTGATGCTGTTAATCCTGCATAATGCACATGCATATGCAGTACTAATCACATTCCTGCATTTCCCATAAATATGCTAAATTCCTTTTGATATGCAAATTCCTTTGTCAATGCGCCCAGCTTATATATATGCTCCAAGCTCGTGTGCTGTTTCATTCAGACTCTGTCGCCTTGACGGACCTGGTTTTCACCTGAGGACGGCTGCTTGCGTTGTGGCCGAAACGTCGTGAGAATTGTTTTATTATGTTTTATTTTTATTATTTTATTACTTCCCTTCTACGTGACTTTACCGAAAGAACCAAGAAGACAGAATCCCATTGTTTCAACGGTCACGCTCTAAGATCGAACTCGTGTTATAACCGTTGCACTACCATACCAGCTACTAATTTACTCATTTAAGGCCAAGTTAACCTAGGGGAGGCCCATGATATATTGTGATAACCCTTGCCACTGATGTTATCCATGGCCGTGAATAACACTGGGGTCACGAAGTCCACCGTGCAGTGCATTAACCACTGCACCAACACTGTGAACACATGTACACAATCACACACAAAGCCATGGTCAATCCCCTGCTGGACGAAGGGCTGTTGGGGCAAGTGCCGTAGTGAGCATCTATGTACCCAAGGCAGCACACACGAGGGTGTTGTGGCCAGGCACATGTGCGGCCCCCATTGTATGCCGAGGATATGGAGCAATGAAATCTGCTCGTGTGCACGGTGGATCATTAACATCGCACCGTCGTGAGAAATGGCAATGGCAGGGGAAGCCCTTCGTCCAGCAGGGGATTGACCATGGCTCATGATGATGATGGTGATCACTGCCATATATATTATCCTCTGTGCACAATGCACAGCTCTGTGTTGATGCCGTTAGATGAGAGATATCACTTGGGACAAAGCCGTTGTCACGAGGTGAACAATTCCCAATCAAAGGGTCAATGACAATTTTACAGCGATAAATGGCAGCATAACCAATTGAGACTCATCTCTCGTCGTATGTTAATTAAAATCAAACGCTGAACAATTGTGTTTTTTTTAATTTTGCGAATTTTCTGTCGTAACCCAAAGATCCCAAGAGGACTCCTTTATAAATTAGATTCCCGATCCAATCAGGTCAACAGGATCGCTTGGCGAGGTGCTCCAGAGACAAATACTCATCATCCCAACATCGCATCGCATCTCATCGGCGGCAGACGCTGGCGAGGGCTCGGATGGGCGCTCCGTGTGACGTGACACCGCCGCGCCACGCGCCCGGAGTCCACGCGGCACGCGCCGTGGAGCCACCGCAGCGCGCAGCCTGCTCCGCCTGGATGTCGGTCGATATTCATCATTCATTACGAAGCTATCGCTTCCCCATTTGTCGACAAATCATTGGCGTCGCCGCCTGTGCAATGGTTTGCACAGCGGACGCTGCAACACACGGAGGTCGCCACTTTGGTCTCCTGGCCGGGCAGCTAAAGCAACGAAGCAAATTCCTTAAATCCACCACCACCACCCATGTCCGCTCACAAGTACGATTGGGTGCACCGCTGTTAGTCGATCTGCAGACCGTGTGCGGTGGGGTAAAGTGTGGATACTCGCACCTCGCTCAAGTTGTCTGCCCAGCGTGGGACACCGTCTCTACAGGGGCTCTCTAGAGCGCCCTTCCGCCAGGCTACGTACGGTGCGAAAGAAGTTCAACATACATACATACTTGCGCTAACGGCTTCGTATCACTTGGGATTTACCGATAGACGTTTGTCTTTCCACTTACAACTCAAGGACCAACAGGTGTACAAGAATGAGTGATATATAAAATAAATCTGTAAAAAAAAATCCCCTTTCACAAATGTGAGTTTTAGTCCAGAAGAATGGCCTAACGCGCAGCGTGAGAACCGCATCAATCGGAGCGAGTGACTGTGCATGCTCATGGAACAGCTGAACAACATAAATTTCTCAAATCATCATACGACTAATAATGTATTGAAATGCGGACTCGGCTGTCAAGGGCCACTCTTGCAGTCACAGCATCACCACCGGCGTTTGGCTTTAAGTCTTCCCCATGGTCACTGATTTCTCTCTACAAAGCTTTACTGCCACTCGCCTGAGTTGCTTACCCTATCCTTGCATTGAAATCGCTCGGAGCCTGCCCGTGCTCAAAGGCCCGGAGCTTACGTTCAAGTGGCTTTGTTAAAGCACAGCTCTGGAATAAAAACAAGAGTTGGAATTATGAGGAATTATATTTTGGTCGCAGACGAGTTAAGCTGCTTTGTTACTGGAGTGGACACAATTCAAAAGGGCAAATGAATATTTAATATAAATTAATTAGGCATCTGTTATTGCATCCGGTGCGCTGTTTTATCCTAATAAATTCACTAGTGATTATTACAATAACGTGTTTCTCAAAACCTGCCAGTTTAACTCGGCAGAGGCCCTCGCCATATAAACAAAAAGCGTGTATCTGTGTCTTGGTTCATCCCCATTGATAGCGACAACAACAACAACATCATCGTGATCCTCTCGGCACATGATGTACAAACACTGCGCCGCGCAAAATACACTTCTCATGACGTCAGCCTCACTGCAGGCAGTGAGGTTCACGTGGGGGGTTCACGTGGGGGGTTCACGTGGGGGGTTCACGTGGGGGGTTCACGTGGGGGGTTCACGTGGGGGGGTCACGTGGGGGGGGGCACGTGGGGGGTGACGGGAGGCAGTGAGGTTCACGTGGGGGGTTCACGTGGGGGGTGACTGGAGGCAGTGGGGTTCACGTGGGGGGTTCACGTGGGGGGTTCACGTGGGGGGTTCACGTGGGGGGTTCACGTGGGGGGGGTCACGTGGGGGGGTCACGTGGGGGGTGACGGGAGGCAGTGAGGTTCACGTGGGGGGTTCACGTGGGGGGGGTCACGTGGGGGGTGACGGGAGGCAGTGAGGTTGACGCCACCTGCCACTCGTTGTGTGCACCCGCGGGATTCACGCGCCACGAGCAGCCTGCACGCGAATTATGATGGCAGATGTTGCTGGGCTATACAAGAGATATCATTACTGATCGTCCCTTCATTGTAATGAAGCCCCTACTAGGTCATCGTATCGAGCCTCGGCCCGTTGTAAACAGTTTGTTTATAGAATGCAATCGTACTTGGCGACTTGCAATTATTTAACGTACGAAAACGTATCAGAATTCAGAGTTTTTTTGGCCAGGGGACCCCCTAATGGCAGCTTGTCCTTAGTCCAACATCTACATTTGGATACATTTAATGGCTTACATGAATTGTCGCAATCCAGGGTTACAATTCAAGTCAAGAATCAATGTTTTGTCGACTTTGCTATCTCATCTCATTGAGGCGGTTTTGTTTGCTCCATTAGCCTAATAGCAACATTAGCGTACAATTCACATACATTGTAAATAATCGATGTTCTGCAACGTGAGATTAACTGCTTGAATTGTGAGTGTAAGAATATATATTTTAATTAGTGAATTGATGCATCGTCACGTGCTTAACAATCTGTGCACATCTTGACAGAGTGGACGCCGCGTTGGCGTCGGGGAGTGAGCGCGAGCTGCCGACAGAGGCAGTGCCGTCGTCACGCGCGGCGTGCCCGGCTCGGTCTCATATCTGGGTCAGTTCATTGCACAACCGCCACTAACGGGGTCTGTGACACAGACACTGAAATCATGAAATAGCTCAGCGTTCCATGTTTCACACAGTGACAATCTGCCCTTTATTTCAGAATGATCCTCCGCCTTTCGATAAGAATGTGCCCAAAACGTCTCTCACTCGTTTCGTTGAGTATCTGTGTATTAAATAAAATACAACTTTGGAAATATTTAAATAATGTTGGTCGACATGAATTAAAGCTGCAAACGAGCTGTTGGCAAGAGGCAATGTTTGGTTTACATTGCTGCGGACGACGAATGCCACTGGAATCTAAATGCCCCCATTGTACCAATCATTGTAATGTACTTCCTGCGTGCCCAGATTCAATGCGAAATTTTGAATCAGCAATCATTATGCAGCGCCACCACAATTAATTAAGGTCATAGCTATTGCAATCGTAAAACGTAAACACAATTCAAAGGCTGTGTGGTGTTATGAAATCAATTACCAAGCGTTTATTTAGATATACACAAAACTGACAAATCCAAACACTCAATCTCCTTTGGTGTTTGGATCACATCGCCAAGAGGTGTGGGGAATGTTTCGTTGAAACCCGCAGAATTTCAGCTGCAACACTGAGGCGAATTGCCATGCATTCGCGGTGATCAGAAGCGAAATAAATCCCAGCACGAGTCGCTGGCAACAGAGCGGACGCCGTGCGCCCGCGTGTCAGTGGCCATGAGCACAGTGCACTGTGCATTGGGCTCAGCGGTTTTATCGGAACAAACAACAATCATTGTTGCAGCGCCGGAGGGTTCCATTAGAGGTTAACGAGCTCGGAGGAGCTGCTCCGAGAGCGATTTCCCGAGTCTCGCGGAGCCGCGTATTTGGTCTCCAGCAGATGGCACAACTAAACGGATGTGGAACACAACATTAAAATATTTGTGCGAATATGAAAGTTTTTTTTAAATCTTATTAAACTTGCTTTTATTATACACCTTAGCTAAGGCTGCTTCTACCTGTAAACACAAATTAATTGGATGAAAAATAAAGGCACTGCATTGGCAGTGGTCCATAAACAGAAATCATAATGATCAAAATTTGCTTCATTAACACAGCCTTATAACAAGAACATGGATAAGGCAGTGTTAATGAAGAGCACGGTGAAATGTTGTGATCATTACTTGGAGATGCAATTGTCATATTAACTTCAGAGTCAATATCTTGCAACACAATCCTGCTAATGCTATTGACGTCCTCGAACTCTACACCATCTCAAAATTAAACACACATCCACTGTGCGGAACATTCAACATCCCCTGTAGCACGACACTGCAATTCCTAGGAACGTGGTTCAAATACTACATTTGAAGCAGCATAATGAAAACAAATGTACTCGGTGATCAGTGAATTAAACCCAATTAACTACGTCACCTCCATCGGAGATTCACGTGGTGCACGTGCGCGTCTGTCTGTGTGTGTGTGTGCGTGTTCGCATATCGCGGCACCGTAGCGGTTAGCGTGCTGTCCTGCAACCCCGTTGTCCTGAGTTTGGACCACAGCCAACACCAAGGGCACACAGCTGAATCCGGTCGTGGGCCTCCCCTAGGTCAACTCAGCCGCTAAAGAGCAGTTGAGGGTGTGCGAATAACATCACGGGGGGAATGAAGGGCGGCCGGCATGGCGTCTGGGTCCCCATCTCCTCGTGTGCCGCCTTCGTCTCAAATATCCTCACTCACAGCCCTTGCCCCACCAGTCTATGCAGGCTACATCTTTATGCCAGAAAGTATTTGTGCGAACGGGCCATGCACATAATATGTGCTTAATCATATGTCAAACATAACTTAAAGCGATACATCTCATTAGGTAAATCACATACTGAACAAAAACGTTAGAAATCAAGTGCGATTACTGAATATTAAGGTAGCAATACCAGAACATGAGTATGTCAACATTGCCTTGAGGTGGCTCTCATTCATTCCCAGGAGTCATCGTCCCAATGGGGTCTCAAAGATCCTCCTGGCCACTGACCTCAGCCTCGCTCTCACCGCAAGCCGCTAGAAAGTGGCTCCATAGATGTGTTCTTGCCTGCGTGTGTGCGCGTGTGCGCGCTTTTTACGTGCACGTGAGCGTGCGTGCATGCATACACACGGGAGTGTTGTGTGCGTGTGCGAGTGTGCATGCATGTTAAAGCATGTGTGCACGTATGAGCGCGTAGGGGCATGTTCGGATATGTGTGTGTGTGTATCTGTGCATGCGCGCTTCGAACTCGACGACCCGAGCTCGATTCCTGCTCACGGTCAACACTAGTGACGATTCATTAAACCAGTTCTGGTCATACCATAGGTCAACTCAGCCTCAAATGAGTACCTAGTGCGGTGTGTAAACACTGCTACTGGGCAGACAAAGGCGGTGGGGCGTGGTTCTGGCCACCCACCCCCACGTGTGTCGTAGTGGCCTTCATCGGTGCTACTCGCGAACAGAACTTGCCCCAAAAGTCGGTGAAGGCTATAAGAGGGATCATTGCCGTGTATACATATTAGTAGATTTGTCTACAAACTCTACATGGACATGTGTGCGTGTATGAGCAGGTATAGTCTGAGACTCTGTGCGAATATCCCTGCGTATATCCACGTGTGCGCGTGTGTAGAGACGTCAATGTTGGTGCGGTGTGTGCGAGTCGCCGGTCGCTCTCAGCTGCAGCGGCTGCAAGCGTGCGATGGTCCAGACGTACCTCCCTCGCCGCTCTCGGCGGCTCCCATGCAGGGCAGGTAGCTGGCGAGGGCCTCCAGAGAGGCGGAGAGGCTGCTCTTGCTCTGGGAGCGAGGCACGCGGAACCCCAGGCCGGGCCCGCCGCCCGCCTCTGGCTTCCCCATCGCAACTCTCCCTGAGCGTCGCGCTGCCCGGAGAACAACGGAGTTCGACAGTGGCCGTGATCGATCTGGAGTAGTGGGCGGGGATGAGCGATGGGCTCGGACGCTTGGAGCCAGCTGGGTAGAGAGGTGTCACGGCGGAGATTGGCTTGCGATGTGTTAGCGGGACCTCTAAAGTCCAAACATTGTTTTTGCCCTCTTGGGATATTGTTTGTAAATCTCTTCTTGTGATGAACTTGCTTCAAACTATCTCAGGGCTACTCTCTCAAGAGGATCACAAATGTCCTAGCGGTAGAATCGGAAGATACAACTTTAGAGGCTTTCACTGCCGTGGGTAAAAACAAATAAATCCAAAAAGATATTGATGCGAAGTACGGGAACTCACGAGCATTATAGAAACAAACACCGACATTCTCCGAGCTCAGAGAGAGAAATAATGACTGGAACAATCTCTGCCAGAATTATTGACGGCAGGACGAGCGGCTTCGCATTCAAGCAAGGAAGGCGCTTGTCGCGACAAACACATCGGTGACCACCGCTGCTGTCACTGTCGGCAGTCGCGCGTCGTCTCGCCTGCCCGTCCTCCGCCTGGGCCACGGTCACGCTGTGGCGTCTCCTGCGGACTCTCCTCGCTCGCTCGGCTCCTCTGCGCATCATCCTCGGCGTGGACCGGCTCCGCGCCGCATCCTCACTCTCTGTTGCCACGGCGACGCGCGCCCATTGGCCGACGGGGCCGTGCGTGCGCGCGCGCGCGCCCCGGCACGCGGCACGTGCTCGTGCATCTCTAATGCCATGGCGACAGCTCGCGGCCCGTGCGCCCCTCCCTACCCCCCTCCCCTCCTCTTCCTCCTTCAGAATCGAGCCTCCTCCCCGGTCCCCTCCGCTTCACTCCGCTTCTCTCCGCTTCTCACCCCCCCCCCTCCACTCCTCGTGCCCGCCAGAGCCACGAGCCACCGCCCGTCCAATCCCATTAAAGTGGCTCGGGCGAAACGCGCCCAGACAAAGCCAATTGCTCGCCGTGGCAAAGGCTCCAAGAGTGGGATGTTGCCGGCACGACATATACGTGCACATGGACTCGTATCCAAGCTTGCAGGGGCCGTGCACTGATGAACGCGCACGTACATTGGGGCCTGATTCGCAGTGAATTTGTGACGCGTTTCTGTCGCTAACGATCGGTCACTTTGCCGTGACGAGGCGTCTCGGCTAATTGGTCGAGATGTCAAATTGGGCTCTCGGTGTCAGCCGGATAAACGATGACTGCACAAAAAACCGAGTCCCATTAAACGTGTCTTTTCCTGCCTTAATTCCAGCTCTTAGCATAATAATGACAATAAAAAACGTTTTGATTTTCATGCAGCAAATATCTGTCTAGTCGGGTATGTGGGAAAGTGGGTCAAATGTCACTTGCAGTGGCATGAGATGAAATCATCTGAACCTCGTTTCTGTGAGTCTTTCTCTCATGGGATATTTATTCTCTCTGCGAGAGTTCCGAATGGATTCTTACAATGTATAATTCCGCCAGAGCAAAGGGGAATTTGCACCACGGACTTGAGTACAATGCCTCGAGGAGAGAAACGCATGCAAGCAAGTGGACGCTTTGACTTAACAGGACGGTGAGAAGACTCGAACAGAGCATGCGCACTCTACACTACCACACTGCAGCGAGCCGGCTTATACACGTACAGCATTGTTCTAATTGAACTGTAAAGTGCCTCTGCTGGGAAGGATGTGTCCCGGTCGCTCAGAGTAATTGGTAACCTGAGCGAGGATGAGCTCACAAATCAGCGTGCTCCATGGATACAACTCCATTCGTATGAAGCACTAATACACGCGTGCTGAGAATCGTGCAGACTAGCGCTCGTTCACAAGTTCGCACTGAACCAGCCGAATTCAAAACACGTTCACTCCTTTAGTACACCCGTACACATTGTAGGAGTCTAATTCATTAACAACTCAGCACTGTGTTCATCATTGTATATTTGAATATCAAATTAATATGAAATGTATGTGAGAATGTGATTGAAAACATCATATACCAGGGGAGGGCTGAGATCCATTTGGGCCCCGGGAAACGAGCTGATGTTGCATCTATTGATATCATAGCTATGTCCGAAGAGGCTTACCTGTGTATACGTCGATGATTTCATCGCGGGGCGCAGGTCCTGTTGCCTCATTGGGCCCTCGGTTTGTGGACGGTGCTCATATTGGTCAGTGTGCCCATGCATGTCACGTGATGTCTATGCAGGCAGACAGATGAGTTTAAGAGTCTTTTCAGTGACCCATTTTGACTCATGTATAATTGATCAAATTGTTTTTTTATAAGGATGCTGATTTAGAAGCCACAATTATGAAATTCACTGGCGAGCAGCAGACATTAGGCATTTTAAACATGTTCTTCTTGGCAATAAATTACTGTCTCTTTTACAAATGTAAATTACAAAATCGAATTCATCATTGCAGTAAGTAATTCCTCCCAGGCAAGTTTACGCTGCGAATGCTCTGTGCCAGTGCGAGAACGCAGGCGTGGAGTGAATCTCTGATAAGGTCTGGCATCGCTATTTTTAGCGCTCGCTACTTCCCCCGCAACAGAACATTTTGAAGAAAAAAATTAAAAATCCACAGCCCACGGCCAATGATCGGAAGCAAACGGGGCTGTTATCGCACGCTCCGTGGCCGACGGCGTGAATCGGCGAGACGAATTCCGCCTTAAAGAGCTCAGCAGCCGACAGCCTTCAAACGACAATCCCGAGTTTGAACATTCGCTTCTCCGTCGGCATCAAAGTGATCAGAAAGCTGTGTTTCCACGGGGGAATGGCCGATATGGACGGCGTTGAATGCCATCGTTTGCTACTGCGCAGCTGCGTTTCCGCTGAGATGGTCCGGGTCTGTTGACAAGCACAGGAGCCGACTTTCTTCTTTTTAGATATGATCCCATTTGTGCTATTGACGTCATGTCACGAGGCGGAAAAAATCAATTCGGAACTCTCACGGGGCAGCGTGTCGCCCTATATTAGACACAGGCCCGCGGAAGCAAATCTCACAGAACTTCTCCAGAGTCTTTTGAAGGGGCATTTCATCCCCTCCGCACACAGACGCTGCAATTAATCACATCCTTACTGTGAGCTAATTGTCGCATAGCAGTCAAAAATTATATTTTAAATTCCCAGAGCTATAGTTCAGCCAAATCAAACGGAAAGGAACACATTGAATATGATGGTTTTGGTGGCCAGTCATTGGTGACCATCAAATGCATTTGACAACTCCGTTTAACCCTGATTCAGCTCTCGGGTCTTAGTGGTGCTAGCTCAATGCTGTGACCCCTGAACCGCCGGGCTACCCACGCAGGTGACTTGCCGTACGAACAGCTCCACTTGAGCTGTCATTTTCGACCGTACGTTTCCCACTTAGAAAACCAACCCAACCTCCAAGCATGTCCTTAAAATAAAATAAACAACACGGTGCATCCTGGGCTGTCTGATTAGAGCTTGAAGTTTTGTTCGTAATAAAAACCTATCCTTAAACTGGAGATCACACATTCCATTATGTCTCTCTAGCGACTTGACTCTGATACCAGTGTGACATCGCTCCGAGACATTTGAATTCAGCACCACTGGAGTGTTCGAGGTGCGTATGCCGTGTTGGGGCGGCGTCTTTCTCGCCCGCAGCGAACCACCCACACTTGCTCAACCAAGTGTGGGTGGTGTTCACGGGTGTAAATTCCACATTCCTTTGCTTGGGGCGAGTTAGTCCATGAATACAACTACGGTTCACGAAAACTGCCGCAATTGCTTATTAGCGCGCGGGCTCATTACTGGTGTTCACAATGAAAGCCTCAATTCACCTTGTGACTTCGTTTCAGAAGACTGCAGCATTGCAATGTCGGGCCAATTCCTAAATGAGCGTTTATCATTTGCGAGGAAATATGTGCCCAGAGAACGCTCGGACATGCGAGAGATCGAGAGAGAGAGTGCTCATTAGTCCACGCGGAGGAGTCACGGACCCACTGGCTGTACTGCCACCTGCTGGTCACCTCGAAGCTCTGCAGGTCGGACGTTTCAGTTCACGGTGATCCTGACGTGATCCACCAAACCTCACGTACAAGGGGCAGATGAGGCTCACATGAGTCTCACATGAGGCTCACATGATGCTCACGTGAGTCTCACGTGAAGCTCACGTGAGGTTCACGTGAGGCTCACGTGAGGCTCACATGAGGCTCACATGAGGCTCACAAGATTCTCACATGAATTTCAGATGAGTCTCCTCCACCGGTGAAGGCTGCTGCCGCTGCCTTACATTGCACCCACACCGGCCACCACAGGTGCAATCACTTATCCCCGCATTGGGAAGTAAAATAATCTACCAACTGTGACAGACACAGACACACAGCAATGACAGACACCAATACCAATACCCCCATTGGCCGCTACATGACAGTGACGTCAGCACGACGCCTGTGCCAGTTCAGGTGCACTTTGACACACACACAGACAAAGATCCCCGTGTAGCCTGAACAGACTGTTGGGGCAAGTGCTGTTATCAAGCACCTATGAAGGCTGGCACGGCACACGAGGGAGTGGGTGGCCAACACCACGCCCGGCCGCCTTGTTTACACACCACACCAGGTACTCATTTGAGGCTGACTCGACCTAGGGGAGGCCCAAGGCCCATGACCGGTTCAGATAATCGTCACTGGTGTTGGACCTGAGCAGGAATCGAACTCGGGTTTCCTGGTTCGTAGCGCAGCACGCTACCCGCTACACTCTATTAAGATACACACACACACAGACTCACACACTGACAAAAAAAACACTGACACATACAGACACATACACACACAAACTCACACACTAACACATCCAGACACACACACAGGCTCACACACTGACACATCCAGATACACACACAGACTCACACACTGACACATACAGACACACACACACACAGACTCACACACTGACACATCCAGACACACACACACACACAAACTCACACACTAACACATCCAGACACACACACAGGCTCACACAGTGACACATCCAGACACACACAAACTCACACACTAACACATCCAGACACACACACAGGCTCACACACTGACACATCCAGACACACACACACAGACTCACACACTGACACATCCAGATACACACACACAGACTCACACACAGACTCACACACTGACACATCCAGACACACACACAGACTCACACACTGACACATACAGACACATACACACACAAACTCACACACTAACACAATCAGACACACACAGACTCACACACTGACACATCCAGATACACACACAGACTCACACACTGACACATCCAGACACACACACACAGACTCACACACTGCCACATCCAGGCACACACACACAGACTCACACACTGACACACGCTGACAAATATGCTTCCATTTGAAAGTTGAATGAAGGAGAAACTCAACCACGAGTCCTCTTTGCTTCTCTTCTGAACGTTATTTTATTTGTTTGGCTTCTGCCATTTCGGTGGCCGCCCAAGTCGCTCTTGCAAATGAGACTCATCCTGGTATCTGGAGTTCTCACCCGGTTCAACACATCCGCTTGAAGCTTGGAGGCAATAGGAGGAGGTTACATTCATTCTCAGCACCTTGCCAGCCATCAATCAACAGTCTGAGCCTGCGCGGACAATTGTTTAAGTTACATTTTCCATCT